GTCAAAAGTGTCTAATGACCTTGACTTTTGCCCTTTTGCGGATGAAGTGGTATAATTGATCATTTTAAAACTGAATTCACAAGCTTTAAAATGAGCCTAAGTTCAGCCGTGTATGTTAGGTGGAATCAAAGTTATGTTATATTTCACAGAGTCAAATATTACAGTTATTTCAAATTTTGAAATGCCAGTAACTTCAAAAATATTTCAAATACACATCTGACATTTTGCTTACATTAATGTCAATTGTATGGTAGCACATACACTGAATTCAATTGAAATTAGAGAAGGTAAAGTTGTAAACAGTACTTTAGTTTGCTAATTGATTTGATTTCTTGACCAGCTCAGTACCAAGAAGGCTGTGTACGATGGAGTTATTTAGTTAAAAGAATATTTCCTTAAATTAAATTATAGCCAATAGGCAGAAGGGGAGAGAGTGGGGGAAAGAATATACCGTATTTACTCGTGTACCCCACGCACAATTTTTTGAAAATAATTCATCCTTAAAATGGGGTGCATGGATTGCATGAGTACGTGGGGTATGTGAGTAAATATGGTATAGCTCAGGTGTTTCACGATATTTTAATACAGTCTGATACAAGAATTAAAATACAGTATTTTCTTCTGCAGGTTTTGGACGCAGTTCACGGCCAACATTTAGTTGCGATGCCCTGACTGCAGAACGACAGTTAGTGAATTCTGTAGAGGAATGGAGACGGGAGATGCAGTTGGACAAAATAATATTGTTAGGGCACAGCTTGGGAGGTTTCCTTGCTTCATCGTATGCCATCCATTATCCTGACAGGTACGTTAATTGCAATAGTTGGAACTTAACTATGTGTGGAAATGGAATTGATACGGATTTCAAACAGTAATGTATCACATATCCTTATAAATATTAGAGCATTAATGTAATTAAAATGTTAGAACGCTGGCCTTGTAATCCTGGGGTCTCGGGTTCGATTCCCGGCGGTGCCCGAATTTATAACTTGTGTTGGGCAAGGCCGTGGTCTAGGCAACACGGAGTTTTCCTCCGGGGGCTTCCCCGATTACTCCATTCACACACAGAAGAAGGCAATGGCAAACCACTGCTGGATCATCTGCCAAGAACGTATATGAACAGGTCCCAGTCCGAGAAAAGGAGGGAAGGATCCGGTTCATATGG